TAGGTGTGTTTTTGTGTGTATATGTGATGAGTTCAATTATAAATTTTATTTTCAATTTATTTAGTTGGAACATTAACATTCTTTTTATATCAATGTATACAGAAATGTAGTTCGGCCTATCGACTATAGTATCTAATAATAATTTGCAGCATTTTGTTCTAAATTTGTAGGTTCACACTTGGGATTAGAGCATGACGAGAAAAGCGCCGGAAGTCCTTGCCGGATGACAATCCCGCAATCAATTTTGGGCCGCTGCCGCCAATTGGGACGATCCCGAAATGTGGGATGTGTCGCAGGACACTATATCGATCCTGTACATCCTGACTGTCAGTAGCATAATAAATATTATCACATTCTTTTATTTTGGTTATTTAAAAATTGTATAATTATGACGGCATATAATATAATGATCTGAGTCCTAACCATAGTGATAATGACAACTTAAGTTTTACGAACAGTCATCAAAAATCATTAGTGGTGTATGGCGTCATGCCTCAAGGCAAATTGCTTGAACTTCTCGTACCAGAATTATATATTAGAACCATTGATATTGGTTGATTTGTGCGCCCGAAATCGTGGACAAAAAATGTATCCAAACCTACATATATACTACATACAAACACATACATCCATTTTTTTAGGTATGCCAAAATGTTCAGAAACCCTTGAAACGTAAATATTTGCAGAAATTTTCATTTTCATTTCTTTAAGATTACTATAACTTACCCTACGGAAAGTTAAATATAAAAGTAATGTACTTAAAGAGGTTTACATTGTATTATCGTGATCGTTAATCAATGATCCAATGTGATGTATGTAATTTGACCGCTAAACATCCAAATTTAATTAATAGAATATTCGGATTCATACAGTTATAATGAAACAAATGTTATCAATATTTATTATAAGACTAGATGACCCGGTAAACGTTGTTTAATCATATAAGGTACGTGTAAACAATTTCTAGAAAATCCAAAAAATAGTAATTTATTGTTAGTGTATGTTTTGTAATAGTGGTATAGGCAATGAGGTAGTATAAAACCCCAAACTGTTCTTGTTAAATATAATATAGTTTGTATTAACAATATTCGTTTGACCATAATTTGCTAATACAATAAAACTGAAAATTTTACCTACTTCGTATGGAATGTATGATTTAATCGAATCCAAGACTTTTTTGGTCTTGCGACTTGTATAGTCGTTGCAAGGTCCAATTAATTCATAATGACTTATATAGTCATTACAATTTCCAATAAGTTCTTTTAGAGTACAGACTTTGAAATAAATATGATTTGCTAAATCTGTGCCACAAATCCAAAAAGTGTATTTTCATATTAACATTAAAAAAGTTGATATTTTGAGTTCTTAGTAACACTTGCGATCTGTTTAATAATGTTTTTGTGTATAAAAGGAACTAGTTGCAGCAATTTAATAATATTCCTCTAAAACATCCTATTAAATTTAGTTGAACATAATCTGTCCAAATTATTTGACATTTGACTCCCTCCATTACATCGTTCCATTTTAAATTAGGCTTCTACAAAAAAACTTAAATCAAAAATGTTAAGCTTTCACACGGTTTTGCAATAATTTCTCACCTTTCCCACAATTTTTGAATTAGCACGAATATTCCCACACAAAAAGTAGCCAAATCGGTTCAGCTGTTTTCGAGTTTTAGCGAATCTAACATAATAGCGAGCTCCATTTTTATATATAAGATTATGAAAATTTACAAAACGTGGGCTGACATAAATGACAGACGTATTAAATTATTTTTCTACGAAACAAAAAAGACTTAAAAATATTTGAAAAAAAAACAATGGTTTCCATGCAGAAACACAACTACCATATTGATTATTTTTATCAAAATCTGATTTGTTCAAATTATTAACTAAGATTTTTATTGTTATACTATTATATTAGTTATTTACAGTATTATATAAAATGTAAATTAAATGTGATATAATTAATTAACAATTATTTGGAGCTATAATATAAGTTTGCTTATTGATTACAGCTTCAACCATTTTTCGAAGTATGTAATAAATAATAAATATTTATTAGTAAATTACAATTTATTATAATACATATTTTGTGTGTTTCATATATTATCAAGTTGAAGAAATCGTCTCGCACATTAAATTAATTTTAAACCCATATTTGCACTTGTTTAATCCAAGTTATTATTTGGAATATTATAGAGTTGGTATTTTTGTTGATATTTTTTTACCAAGACTAAAATATAGTTTATTTTAAATTTTTGAATGTATATATGTGTAATGTGTATAGAATGTACAAATATAATTTAATTTAATGTATTATTATTAATATGATATATGTACATAGTTTATAAGTAATGATGCTTTAATGTATTCAAATTTGAACTGAAATAAAAAATTCTTATAAAATAAAAAATAATTATTTGGAAGATATATATTTCTGTAACTTACACAATAGACAAAAGTACATTATTTACAATTATTATATTTACATAATTTCTATATATACTTTATATAACATGTTAATAATTATATATTGCTGACATTGAATGTATTTACAAAATCAATAATGCATTAATATTTTTATAATAAATTATTTGAATAATACGAGGTTCATTCAGGATTTTTTTAATGTGGTAGTCAATTGCAAAATATTATTAGGAAGGAACTATACTCTCTCCTTTTTCAATATTGCGAGACTAATTGAAATTAATAAAATATTTATACATTAGAATACAAAACAATATTATCAATATTATACTGCAACTTCGTTAAGTTATTTGCCATACATTTTACATTTTATACAAAATATTTTTTGTACTATAATAAGTAGAAGATTTACTTTACACATTATCTTAGTGCTTCTTATATTATTTATGGTAAGATAATAACCATAAACTTATATTATAAATAAGATTATGGTAACGTCAATGGCACATTATAAATAATAAATTACTTATGTAGAATATATGTGACGAGAACATAGTATTATATATATATATATATATATATATATATATATATATATGTATATATACATATGTGTGTGTGTGCTTAAGTATCATCATTTGGCAACAGTATGAAACTTTTATACAAGAATTATAAAGTCAATACAGCAATATCACAAAATTCTTAACTTTCAATACACATGAAAAAAGTTTTCCAGGTCAAACGTTCAGGAAGTTTTTCCAATATACAGAGAAAACACTTGTAACATGAAAATAAATATAAGTTATTGGAAGTTCCAATAATATTAAAATTTTAAATTAATGAATAATGAGTTTATGATTACAGCAAAAATAATCTGTCTGAAATCAAAAGTAATTGAATATCATTTTTTAAGATATTTAGTTGAACAGAATATTTAGTTTAGATTTGAATTAGTGTTAGATTTGAATCAAATTTTTATTCAATTCATTTAAATTAAACAAAAATTTTATTCGTAACAACAATGCTTTGTAACGATGTATTTTATATATAAAATTTTGTCACACTTATTATTTATTTTATTTACATTTAAATAAAATTTGAAAAAAACTTATCAAATACCCCCAAAAAATTGGTTGCATCGGATTATTACACAATGTTATAAATATAATAAAAATAAATTATTTAGCTCTTCATAAAAAATAATTTTAGTGATTTATTGAAACAATTTGAAACAAATTTCAATAATAACATATATTTATTATAGGCTACTATTGAAGTACTAATTATATAATGTCATCAGCAGTTATAAAGCAATTATGATTATTAAAAATTTGCATTTCAAATTCAAATTATATGGTGGCTATTAAATTGTTAAATATATAAAATTTAAATTATAATTATCATAAATTGCCATAGCGCAAAGTATTAAAATGGACACGTCATTACAATAACAACTAATTAAAATTTTATAGACAATATTTAATTTTCAAAATATATGTATAGGGTAGAGCGGGGCACAAAAATCCAATTTGACTTTGAGCAATTATATTGTGGAAACCAAACCAATTATGTCACAACAAATATAATATATCAAACGAGCAATTATCTGACTATGTTTAGTAAAACTCCCAGCTACTTCATCATTGTAGACATACGTTATTTTTGATATTTTTAAAAATTGTAATCTGGTCCTTTTGACCCCATTAGCGGAATAATTTGAGAATGCCAGTGGGCAAACAGGTCTAAAGTCTTATGTGAATTTTTATTAAGAAATTTTGCAAAATTTTAGCTACATTATTCAACAATGCAAAATATAAATTTCATTGGTGCATTTTTTACAGAGGTAATCTTGATCTGGTATTTTATCAGAAATATTCATCAGCAGAGTTGGAATAACTTTTTATTTAATACATTTGTTGCAGAATTGCTTTATTTTACTTAATTTACTTCTTTATTTGGTATTTTTTGTTGCTGTTACACCTATGCCAGGGTAAAGATTTAGTTGATGGTCCTTCTATGTTTTATATAAAAAACGGTTAAATCAATCTTAAAATTAACAACAGATCTTATTGAAAAATTAATTGTCGTATACTTAAAAATTATATTGAGGTCTCTTGAACTGAACTGAAAAATCTAACAACGAAAGAAAACTTTTGTTATAAATTTCCAAATGTTGTAGTTTATTTCCTGATCGACCTACCTACTATCGAATATTGTTATTAAAAAATACATAACTTTATTGTGTTTTTTAAATATTGGTAGTGGACCTTTTTACCCGCGGACCTTTAAACCTTTAAACCTTTAAACCCCGCTCTACCCTATATATATATATTATTCGAAGTAACAATAAATAATTTCATTTTAATAAAATACATCATGATACATACAATTAGCCATAATTTTATCTGAAAGAAAATAATTCAGAATCTCTACCTTCAGCATAAGTAATGTTGAAATAATAAAGTAGAGCTGATTTTTTCATATAATACAATATGATAAGAAAAATAGTTTCCATTCTATTTTTGCTAAACGATGCAACCAAATCTAAGAATTACTGTATAAAAATTTAATTTCTGGAGGCATCAAATATTGTGATTATCACTGTGTTCAGATGAGCTGTCGTATGCTACTAACAATGAGTCTTGTTCTTCGGGGCTTTCGCATCTTGAAATGTCTGAGTATTTTCTAATTGGACTGTAATCGTCTAAAACAGAAATAAAATGAATTGTACTTATTGTTCACAATAATAAAATGAAAAAAAAAACTTATAGATGCAATTAAACGTTATTTTGAAGTAAGCGACCCACACATCTAGTAGAGAAGACTGGGTACGGTTAGGCCACGTTTTTTGATTAGCAATAATTTTGTTAATTTATCACCATTGGAAAGAAGTAAATTAAATGATAATTTAAACATTTGTCTACGAGGAATTACCGAAATACTGTCCGGAAATACCATGTATTAGTAATAAAATCAATTTATACAAAAAAGTGCCAGTGGCACAACCATCCACACCCGAGGGACGGTTGTGACAAGCATTAAAATTGGTTAAAAAGCAATAGCTATAAACACGAAAATGAATTATAACAACTTTGATGGTCAAAAATATGTCAAACAGCACAAATTGATTCAATGCAAATTGATTTAATTACTAAACTAATTGTTTTTACACAGCCGAGTTTTAAATTATAAGATTACGATTTGTTATCTATGCAATATTTTTTAAAAACGTCAAACTATTTCAAATTATATCAAATTAGAACATATGTAAAATTACAAAGAAAAAAAGAATTATTTTTATTTTCACGTGAAAATAATATACTCGAAACATTTAAACACTTGCAGTTCTTGTATAAGGTTTATAAATTTTGTATAATTAATATCTATAAACATCATAAAAGTTTATAACGACTTTTATGGCCAAAAATATGTCACACAACACAACATAATCATTTGAACAAAGCATATGAATAGAATATAAAAATAGATAACAAAATATAATTCTGTAAACAAGAAAACTTTTGTAATTTTCTTTAAAACTTCTTTTCTCTTTCGTATTCTAACTTACAATTAGTAAGGTTAGATTTTTCTTTCTCTGTTTAAATTTCCAACAAGGAATACATGTCACATAAACCAAAACTAATTGCTGGTAATTTTGAGGAAGTGGTAAACCTTGTGTTAACTAATTGCTGGTAATTAATCATCTACTTGTATTCAACTTACAACAAAATAACAAACGAAGTGATCTATATGTATTCGAGTAATAGTTATTATTGAAAGAAATCGAACAAAAAATTCTTATTTTGGCTCTCTAAACCCAATTCGGTCTGCAGATCATATTAATTGACTTGATGCAATAAAGAAAACTTGTTCGAACAAACATACTTCATGTTTTTTCCTTTGAACCCTGTTTCAAAATCAGTATAGTTTAGCTATTATGGCGACTATACTCTGGCACAGCCGTACCCAATCTCCTCTACTTTTAAAATGCAGCGGTCCACAGATGATTTATTATAATTTTGCTTTCTAAAAATCTAAATTGCCCCAAATCTACATCAGTTTGTACATAAACCGATATGGTCCTACGGTCTACAACTATGGGGTGCAGCCAGTAAATCAAACATAACTATTCTACAGAGATTCCAGAACAAAATTTTGAAAGAAATCGTGAATGCTCCAAAATATGTCCCAAACTGGTTAATACATCAAGATCTCAAAATTCTCACTATAATAGAAGAAATTATTCATTACTACTCCAGATACAAAGCTCGTCTGAGTCGTCATCCGATTTAATTAGCGTGTGATCTGCTCAAGCCTTTACCACCCAAGCGACTCAAAAAAAAAAAATCTGCAATGATTTACTACATCAAATTATATAATATGTAAGAAGGTGCTATCGCAGGATAGCAATACTTCTTACGCTGACAAATAAAATATACCTTTGAAGTAGCTGAATATATGAAGTAGCTGTGTATAGTTTGCTATGAACAAAAAACTAAAAAAAAGTTTGTACATGCTACACTTAATTATCTACAAATCAATATAATTACTAATTATATTCACCATTGATTAATTAATGTAAAGATTTTTCAAGAATCATTTCTTTTTCAGTCCATTGCGTACAAATATGAAGAAAAATTACTAATTATATTTACCATTTATCAATTAATGTAGCTTTTTTTCAAAAATCATTTCTTTTTCATCCGCAAAAAATATGAAGCACAAAAGCTCAAAATAATTTCAATACACCTAATGCAAATACATGTACATGGTTCTGTACAATAAAGAAAACAAAATTTATGAAAATGTAATATTTTATGAGGTTCGTACAGAATTGTGGAAAGCTTTTATCGTATGTACGCTTCGATAATATAATACCGGTACTCCAATTATTTTACATATTTATACGCCATTCGATTTTTTTTGGTTATAGTATATTTTGTAAATATTGCAAAGGTATGTTTGTATATTTTAAAATCATGGATATTATTTTAATTTTATTAAATATGAATTAGCTTGATCACTTGCATAAATACCATTATAGATATTTTCAAAAAGCCATTATTATGAATAAAATTCTATATCAAATATAAGTTTAAAAATGCTTTTCCAAGTAAATAAATACTTCTGTACCATATTATGCTACAAACTATCAAAATGCGTTTCGAATTGAATTTTGATTTAATTTGAATTTGAATACTATAATGCAATATCATTGCATAATTCAAAATAAATCCGTTTTGATTTGATACACAGTTCACTCTTATCAGCAAGATATTGTCTAATATCATACTTTTTCAATATTATAGTATTTTTTTAAATTTAAATGATTTTCTTTCAATTTATCACATTACAAAATAAACGAGTTAGAATAGAAGTCAAAACCCAGATCATTAGAATAAATCAAACAGAAGAAATATTCTGTTCTTTAAAACAAATTTTTGAAGTGACTTTGAGTTTAAGCTCAAGAGAAAAAATTTCAATCCAAATTCAATCTTAATTAAAATTTATCTGAAATGATGTAAATTAATGCTAACTGATTTAATTACTAATTGCTTTTACACAACCCAGTTTTAAATTATATGACTACGATTTGTAAGCTGTGCAATATATTTTAAAAATGTCGAAATATATCAAATTCTATAAAATTAGAACAGATATAAAATTACAAAGAGAAAATTTTTATTTTTTTAAGTTAAAATAATATATTCGAGACATTTGAAAACTGTAGAAATTCTTTGCATAAGGTCTTATAAATTTTGTATAATTTTCAGCCGTGTGTTTTGAATAGAACGACTCTCTATTTCTTCAGAAAATGATAGTTCGCCTAGGTCTATGAGTGTGAAAAGGGTCATAAAGTACCCAGATTTAAATTTTACAACGGTATCTGAGCCACGGGTTAAAATTATTCAGGGCCAAAGAGTTGGGTAAGATTTTGCAAGGATTTGCTCTTCATCAGAATGGAAATATATACGGTATTATGACGGAAGCATATTTGCATTCGATTCCCAAATGTAAAAGGCTTGGGGACAGGGTTGACTTGAAATTTAAGTAGATTTTGATAGTATGAATTAAAAAACTCCTAATTGTTTAAACATTATTTTACTCATTTTCTGTGAAAACAGATTTTACTTTCTGGCTAAACAGTGGGGCTAAACGATCAGAATCAAAATGAAACCATACACAAAGTACTTAGAGTTTGAATAGATTTTCTATTAAAATTGAATTTTTACTTAGAAGAATCTAAATGCAACAAGTAAAAGTTGTCATGTTCATTAATCGAACTTGAATGTCATTGATATATTAGTTTGGATCATACATGATATACTTGTCATAATATTGAATTATGTTTGAAACAATGAAGGTTAAATATAAATTTTAACTTATTATTATAGAAATATTTTTACCGAATAACACTACTTTTATTTAAAAATATTCAGTTCTTATTCAAAGTTATTTGCATTTGTATAAATGTTATTAAATGTATAAAAATATATATTACACATATTCTTATTATTATTATTATTATTTGGAAGTGATGATGTTAAATCGTTTAATAATTTTGGGCACTTGCAAAACTTTTCTGCTATTACAAAGTTAACGGAACATCAGAAAAGCTTAAGTTTGTAATTATTTCTCAAATCTCTTCATCAATAATATGACAGAAATCAATAATGCAATATATATCTAGGAATATGTCAGAGAAGATGTGAGCCAATGAAATTATTATCATAGAGATCAATAACATCAATTTAAACAATATAGACTAAACTATGTACATAAACTTCTGAACTATGACATATGTTGAATATGCATATATATATATATATATATATATATATATATACAGTGGTGTTGTGCTAATATTTTTTTTGCCAGAACGCTAAAATTTAAAATCGGGTTCATAAACTGGTTCAAAAAATTTGATATATTTCGATAAGAACTCATAAATCTAATATATTGACTTTTTATATAATTAACTCTATTATATACAGCTAGTTTATACATTAAATTGTACAAGTATGAACATAATTTATATTCTTCAATAATATTAATTATATTTATTCTGGTATTATTTTATTCATTAATACCTACAGGTGTTTATTATGATAGAAAAGTACTCAAGATTTATTACAATACTTTATAAGACTTAACCTATTAATATGATAGATAACTTATTACCTATCATACTATATTATATTATTGTATATCATAGATAGATATCTATTATCTATCATACCGTGTGAGATACCTATACCGTCATTAACTCATTATATACCTACATACCTTTTACTTCTTATAAATACTACAGTCTAATTTATATATTCACCTATATTTTACCTTACGCCCTATGTATTATCTCTACCTATCTATTGTCTATACCGGGAATTGAACCCGGGACTTCCGCGTGGCGGTCGCGCACCTTAACCACTACCCTATCGGGTACCCCCATTAATAATATAATATGGGATGCACTGTTGTTTCCGCGGGTCATTTTCTAATTAAATAGGTAATTAATACTAAGGTGGCGCGACGACACGCGAAAAAAGACGGTTGATTGTAGCGTTACGGTGGCGTAGTGGTTAACGTCGTCGCGTTCCACGCGGCGGGTCCGGGTTCGATTCTCGGTAAGGTTAATGTAGCGTGTAAGGAAAATTATAGGTAATAGGATATATAGTAGATATAGGTTAGGTGTATTCGATATACAATGTAGGGATTTGAAAGCATATGATGAAATATAGCGTATGGTATAGATGTAAGGCGTGTGGTATAGAATGCAACGTATAGGCATACGTAAGGCTATAAAAATACACGAATAGGAACCTATGATGTAGGTGTTAGCGTATAAGTAATGCGAATGAACATAAGATTTAATTTATAAATATTATTTTTTCTATAAGAACTTTTATCTCGGTATTAAATATCTAAAATATCCAAAATATGGGTTAAGGCATCGATTCCACCTTACTGCTGCCTTTGCCGTTATCACTTCATGGAAAATTAATTACTGCACTTTTAAACCACTGTGTGTACTGTGTGACAATAGACATAGAACTATAAATTTTATTAAATGTTTGAGTAACTTGTGCGAGCTGATTTTCTTAATATGTTTTTATTCTCGCAACTTACTGAATTCTAAAAATTCTAAATTTAAAAATATAATATAAAAATTATTATACCGCTGTCAGGAAGGGATGGCAATTTATAAATAAACAGACTAATACATACAGAGTTTGGAATTTCTCTATAATCCGTAATATTGAGAAAGTTTGCATTAGACCTAACCTGCTTATTTACCTAAGCTATGGAAATATATATGGAAAAATTATATGATTTGCACATGCATATTGTGCTCACTTAAACTAAACAATGATCATAATATATTTAACGAATTTTTAACAGTATTTACAAATTACTTTCAAATCACCTAAAGCAAGTGGGTTAAAGTAATTTTTTAATTTGCCTCCCCCCTTTGGATTTAAAAATTGATTTTTCTGTGGGGCGTGTGCCCCACGTTGGGAATTACTAGTCTAGGAGTCCAATTTTTTAATCTACTATCAGGTTAATCAATAATTGAGTGATCATCAATTCCACAGCACCTTCATCAGCTTTTTAAAAGATCAAAGTTTCTATGAATATGCATACAAATCTCAAATTGTAGGCCGAAATTTAGACAATAAGTCTATTGAAATATCAGGGTAACTCTTTTGCTATAAATTGTCAACTAATTTACCAATAAATAAATGTCAATAAAACAATGATTAAAAAAAATTACCAATAAATGTTGGATTGTAAAAATTTACAAGCGATCGAACGGCTTATATTTTTGCCTTAGATGGCAAAAAATTCATCCAATTATTAAAATATTACATTTTTTTGCAGTTCTTATGCTTTTGTATTTATAGAATTGCTTTTTTCGCTACAATCAATTTCCATTATATGAATGTCTTAAATTATTTATTTTATTCGACTAACGCCCGCTATGTTCGAAACAAGTCCAACTTATATCCGAAATAATCGGGCATCAGACACTTTTCGGTCTTAAAGTAACATATGTGAAATTTGAAATACACTACTGTATTGTAATTAATATTTTAGTTCAAACACCTCAATTTGTAACTAAATTAAAAACGACTTTGATAAAACCAGTGGTGTTGTGCTAATATTTTTTGTCGGAACGCTAAAATTTAAAAACTGGTTCATAAAGCGGTTCAAAAACCGGTTCTCATGTTTTTTCCGGTTCCGTTCGAAAAGGAAAGAAACAAAAATTATTACAAAACCCATTGTGTGCACATATATGTATATTTATTACAATAGAACATTTAATAAAAATTAGTTGAATAATAGTTTATAAAATTTACTTATTAAATCGTTTTCGATTGTATGTAGCGATTTTTTTATATTTTTTCTTGCCAGAACGCGTTCCTTCCCAAAACTGATTTGCCGGAACGACGTTCCGGCGCGTTCCGGCTCGACAACACCACTGTATATATATATATATATATATATATATATATATATATATATATATATATATATATACATGTAATATTAGAGTTGTCTTTAATATGGACATTTTTGAATGTTCTTGCTCCCAAGAGTTTAAATCGTTCCAAATTAATAAACAATAATTCTATGAAAGTTTTAGCTCCTAATATTAACGTTTAGATAGTGCGCAATTCAATCAAACTTCGTATGCATATTCGACGCTCTGCAAAATTTTTGAAAAAAATTTCATGCTATTTCCATACAAAACTTCATTTGAATTGGACTCTATCTAAAAGACAATGCTAAGAGCTAAAACTTTCAGAGAATTGTTTTTTAACAATTTTAAACCATTTGAGCCCTTGGAAGCAAAGAAATTCAAAAATGTCTATATTAAGGACCACCCTAATATACACACATACATATATATATATATATATATATATTTATATATACATACATATATAATTTTATATATACCAATACATGAAAGAAGTATTCAAAAAGTAAAGACACGTTTTCAAGTTACATTGAACTATTGTTTTCTTCTTGTATTTCAAACATGTTTTGTACATTGCAAACTTAGTTTGTTTTTCAGAGAAATGGCAAATGATAAAAAGGTAGAATTTGTAGTATACGGAAATTTTTCTTTATTGTAAAAATTGCATGTTCTTATATAAATATCAGCTCTTGTAGACAGACTTCGTATATATAGAAGAAGTATTTTGATTTGTAGATATATGATACTCCGAATCATAAGTCAAACATCTAACCATGTAGCTATACTATTTAAATAAAATGTTTGTTTAATACGAAATACATGAAATAGAATGTAAATGTTCAACACTAGATTTACGGATGTTGATTATATTGCCTATTTTTACTGAAAATATGCCAATTTGGCTCATACAATGAAATGGTAATTTTTTGAGAAAATTGGTTCAAGGCAATTGAAATTTATTATAAAAAAACATAATTATCTTTTTTGGCCATTTGATTGACTACATCAAAACCATATATAACATTATATATACTTTTATATATTTATAGTCGTCAAATTTTTATTGTGTCAAATTGGCTCGGTGTTGAAAAATGCTTTTGTCTACAAAATTTTTCTACTGTGATTATAAAGCGCCTAGCACACACATGAAAATACAATCATACTTTATTCAAAACCACTACATAAATCCTATTTTTAATTCATCTTTTAACTACGCAGTTGAAATAAATCCATTCATCCCTTGTTCAAATTCGTGCATGCAAATAAAAACAACAAATATTTGTACCATGCAAATTCATAAAACAAGCAGACAAATAACTATAACAAGTGTGTATCACTTCAGGTGTAAATTAATTATAATTTATTACAATATAATGAAATATATCTCACCCAAGTCCTTTGTGGATCAAAGTTCAATGACTTCGGGTCCTCTCCACGTGATTCCTGACCTCAGCATGTGATAAAACCGCATTACGGCCCAAATTGCAAACGCCTGAAAAATTAATGATTAACTGATATTAGATAATATGTAATTATGAAAAGCACTTCAGGCTATTATTATAAAATGTCATATAATTAATAAAATCAGATTAAGCCCTACGCAAAATTGTCCTTCTTAGAGACAAGGATTACATATATAGGGGAGACTGGCTATGGTTGTGCCAGGGTACGGTAGTGACAGTCGTCTTAACAGCTAAATTACACTGATTTGGAGATAGGGTCCAAAGAGAGAAAGACGAAGAAAGATTGTTCCAGCAAGTTTCCTTTATTGCTGTCAACCTTATATTAACATGACCTGCAGACCGCATTGCTTTTAAAGAGTCAAAAGTAATTCATGATTAAAATATTTTAATAACTTAATTGTATACAAATAGAAAGTGAAAGAAAAAGAAAAATGCAATACAAAAAAAATTACAAAGATTTCCTATGAACTTTGTTTAAAAAATTATTTTTGTTATATATTGTTATATTTTATTCAATAAGTTTTGTTAAAATGTTTATGTTGTGTTGTGTTAAGTATTATTGTTGTTAACGACTATAAAAGTTGTTATAAATTATTTTGGTGTTTATATCTATTGTTTTTTTAACTTTTTTAGCCCCACCCGCGTGTAAGCCTTTATATAGGTCGTATGAAAAAAATTGTTGGATTTAACTTAAAATTAACAAAAACCTCAAAAATTATATTAAGATTTCGTAAACTGAACAACAGTGCTCACAACCAAAAAACTAACAACAACAAAAAATACTTTTGTTATGAAATTTCTTACATTGTCGTTTATGTCCTAATGGCGACTCGTAAGAACTGTTATAACTCGTTATACATCTCTTTCCCTCTACTTTTAAATATAAATTTTGAAAAATTCCTAACTATACTCGTATTTGAGATATAGGGACCTTTAAGCCCCTTTCTACACTATTTATTAAATTTGTATATTTATTGAATAAATGCTTTCTCTTCTATGTTTCCCCGTTTTTATATCTGTCATAACTGTCACTCGGGTGTGGACGGTTGTGACACTCGCCCCTTTCTTGTATGATTTGATTATATGACGAAGACGTCGTATTTAAAGCAGCATTTCATAGATAAATATTCAAATTAACATTTAATTTATTTTGCTTCCAGTTAACTGATAAATTAACAATATTATTGATCAAAAAAGTGGCACGACCGTATCCAGTCTTCCCCACTGAGTTCTTGGTTTGGATGACAACAATACGAAAAAAATGACATAATAATGTGATGATAATAGATAGAATAATTGACACAATTGAATATATTTGATTGAACTATTGACAAAAATCAGTAATAAAATTTAAATTAATGCTAACAATAATATAATAATTATTATTGGTAATTATACTATTTAATAATTAGTTGAATTTTTCATTTATTTCTATTATATTAGCCCTTAAATAGTATATTGCACTGAGACCAATGTTGATATTTGTATAGAAATAAGGTAAGATTATATATATATATATATATATATATATATATATAAGATTTCCCCCGACTTGACATGAATGAGTTTAAACAACGCCAGCCTCCCTAAAGAAATACATATATTTACATTGCGCTCTTTTATTACAGAGTGTATGATGAAACTCAATTTGTAGACAGCACCGCATTTTCTTGTTAAAAGAATAAAAGAAATCTACCGGAAAATTGTCGAAAGTAAAAGAAAAACTTCAACTGAAGAACTGAAGCCTACAGAAAATAATGAATGGCAAATAATCGGGTTATTTAGATTCAGAAAATTTCCATTTATATATTACAAAGCGAGGAAAAGCGACGTATTTACAAATTGTAATACTGTAAGTGCCCTTAATAATCATTCAGGAATGAAATTTAAAGTAATGAGAGGATGAATAAAACATGAGTGCATAAAATATTTAATAAGCGATGATAAAAACAGATGGTTTTAAATTATTATCAGCAGAGTTTAAGGAAGTTTTTTCAGAGTTACTTGATTGAAGAAAATATTGAAGTAATATTTTTGTTATGTCCCGAGTTAACAATACTGTTTAAGATACTAAATGTGAATCAAGACATAACGGTACTTGCATTAGTTATATCATTTTAATAATATTTAATTATCGCATTAATCAAAATTTATTTTTTTGTAATTGAAATTTACAAAAGTAGTCTTTGAGCTCAATTTTCAGTAGAGTTCTTAAAATAATTTATACTAGAAAAATGGTTTTTATTATAAAGTATTAGAAATTTTTTGAAAAAAATATTTATAAGAACCATTCAACTGGTGGTTGGCACCGCTCTATGTAATGATTTGAATATTACAAGAGAAAATTGTATGGATCATCACAAAATAACTAAATAATTTTAAAATAAATAGCTATGTATTTAATCTTCTCCTCTCTTGAATATTAATTTTATTTACATAAAAATCAACTTAACTAAGCTCAACTAATTGCAATGGTATAAAAACATTCAATATTACTTTATGATCAAAACTTATACCTGCTATATACAAATAACTACTTTAAATTTGTTTGGGAAAATAAGTCTCATAAAAACATATAGCTCTTCAGAAATAAATGAATCAAACAATATTCCAAATAGTTTTTATACAAAAAGTTTTCATTTATATGACAAATAAACAGAAAATGCTAACTGATTGAACTTTATAATTTAATAAATAATAAAACATCCTGCAGGCAGTTCAGAAATTATTTTTACATCTCATTATCATATCTCATAAAAGTTTTCTCAGTTATTGATAACAAATACTTCCACAAAAAATACTAAACAACGAATCTCTGTGGTATTTTGCAGAAAATATTTTCTTTAGTAGAAGAATATTAATCGATGAATATAATAAATGCTTCATTCAAAGAAAAATTTAAAAATAAGGAAGATGGTGAAAATACAATTATGAATAAAACATGAACCCATAAAATATTCAATGAGCGCTAATGAAACCAGCTGTTTTACAATTATTCAAATACATTTTCCCCAAGAATTGGATTATACGTTTTAAAATCGTATTATTAATTGTGAATAATATAACAGATTAAATTATAAAGAAAATATTAAAGTAAAATGGTGACATTTAATTAGTAAATTATGATTAATAATTTTATATTTAATATCATAAATATTTAATATATTAGTGAGTGCACTTACATTTATCACAGCCCTTGCGATGAAAAATGCCATCTCTGCTTTACACAAACTATCAAATTGCTGAAAATAAAGAAAATTTGGTCAATTTGTTGGATATTGAAATTATCTAGACTATCAAGGCATAATTATGATTATTATAATAATTGATAAAAATATATAATAATTAATCAAATAGAATGCACCAACCTAATAAAGTTTATACAAAGTCAAATTGTAAGAAGATATCTTCCAAAAGATAAAAACTACTAGGAGTATTCTGAATAAATTTCTGAAAGATTTTGAAATTTGTTTGAACCGTATAAGTGTACTTTAAAAATTAAAAATCAATATTGGCAAGGAACCTAAAAAAATGAAACAAAATTTGTTCTTATTATTAAAATATCTATAAAATATCTGATAATATAATGAGCATATGTCTAATGATCATTTTAGACCTCTAATTTTTTTTAACATTTTCCTCTGTTTCCGAAACCGCTAGACTTGCCTACCCAATAAATTAACTAATTTTTCATTTCGTCAATACAAATAAAATGTGTTTTTGAATCATTCAAATCGGGCACCCCATTATCTCAAAAACTGAATTACCAATAATGACACTTTTTGCCTCCGAATCTTTGAAACGCTTCGACCTGTCTTCGCCAAAAACTATTCATCAGTAGGAATCAAATGTTTTTTGAATCATTCAAATCGGTTGATCCATGCGCCTGAAAGCGTGGACAAAAATTGTATCTAATACACACACACATATATCCATTTTTCTAAAATATTTAGAAGTATTTAGGTTTTCATTTTCGTTTTTTGCGATTACTATAACTTACCCTACGGGAAGTTAAATATTATTTTCAACTTTTGAAAATTTGAAAATGATTGAAATTATTTTTAATAATTAATTTTAATGAAATGTGTTTACCGATCTTGACATTTTCCTTGTGGTATTTTGCTTGTGAAAACATAAATACAATTATAACATAATTATTGTTTTTCTTATAACTTCCCTCTCAAGTTATAAGGATTTTATATAATTGGTCAGTTACAAACTTAAAATTGTGAATCGAAGTTTTAGAAATCTGTCTATCGATGGAAAAATTAAGCTAACAAACATTTGAAAAGGGCTGAAATATGATCAATATATCTTTCAAATCATAAACATTATCCGCGTAAATCTATTATGATCCTTAAATATCGCACTTGATTAATAGCCTTAGGAAGATATCTTTTAGTTTAGTTTGTTTTCGAAGCTTTTGCATCCGTTTCTCTCATTTATTTTCATGGTGTAGAATCTCTTCGGAAGAGATTGGATTTTTGTTAACCTTCCACCCCCGTTTTACATTTATGCATAGCCCTCTTTCCTTTTCCAGAAGGTTAATGCCAGTTTCTTTAAGGTTAGGATTTGTATTTTATTCGAATTGTTTACCTATTTTGAGATTTATATCGGATAAACTATGCTATTTGTCTTCAAAAACTGATGCACACCGACATAATGATGACCACATTTTTATTGCTCATTTCTTTGATATGATAATAATTAATTGATAAGAGTTGATAGCACTTAAATCCATGGGATGATCTCACACTGTTGATAATATTATTGCCAAATATATTACTGATTTTTCTAAGTTTTATTCTTTATTTGCATCATTCGTATACGTTTTATTTATACGTTAAGGCTAACATTTAAACTAAGTACAATGAGAAAATCCACTAAATACAGTTTATATGATGAAGTTATTTAAAATCAAATGTGTGTATAAAATGTATTGAACAATATTGAAAAAAAAGTAATAGAGAAGGGCGGAGCACAAAAGTCCAGTTTGATTTTGAACAATTACATTGTGAAAACCAAACCA